ATTGAAGAAAACAGTCTTCAGGATTTACTATGAAAACTGGAGGTAGTATTAGTATTTTCTAAGCACATCAAGTGAATTTTAAAAGCTATAAAATCACATTCTGAACTATTCTACCAAATATGCTAATCATGTTCTATGTTACTGGAAATTGCCTATTCTCAAAGCATCTAATTACTCAAATTATTTTCTTATTTGATGAACTGTCTTAAATCTGTGGCAAAGAAATTATAGTTGGAGAAATAACAGCAGTTGACAGCACAATTATAGACAGGCAGCAAAAATGAATCAGAAAGGTTTTTTGAAAATGCTGCTTATCAAATTCTGGAATTAATTTTTAGTACTCTGGAATTTCATATACAGAAATGATTATAGATGCTCATTTAAAAGACTTTAACCCAGTTAAAGTTAACATAGTTTAGAGAGCAGTCAGCATTGCTCAGTAGTTTCAACCATTAAAAATCACCATACAACAAAATTACTTTTTTTCCTTTGTAATACCTCCCTTTATTGCAGTTATTACAACACTGGTTAAATTCCAAATACACACAGAATACAACTGGCTTCATTATATTTTGAATCAAAGTTTGGAAGGTTAGAGGGCAAAACCAAGAACTACATTAACTGTCCCAGACAGATGGCTCTTGATAGGAATTTCCATTGAGGGATGTGGCTCCTGAAACAACAATGAATGCCTGTTGAGGGTACTGTGGAGAAAGCACAAGGTAAAAAGCCCAATGTGTGAACCCCGTGACTGCCTCCCAGAGCAGGAGGGTACCTCGCATCAGCATGAGCTCTAGTTTACAGTGATAAGTACGATACTGGGCAGCTGCTATATTGCATTAATCCTTTTGGCATTCCTTATGAGGAAACAAAGACCTTAGTCTTACTTTATCATTGTATAGTAAAACAAAGTAGTTCATAGGAAAAGTATGCAGATCTCCCAGCATTGCCCAAAGGGACAAGACTCCCCTTCCAATTTCTCATACTAGGAGAGCCTCCAGGCCCTGTTTTGACAAAAATAAAATCCCATCTGTTCTGACAAAGCTTTGGGGACACATGCAAACTCAGCTGTCTATTCCTAAGGGATGAAATTCAGATTAATGGACCCCCCCACATTTTAATTGGTTTTTTGAAATACAATCATATCTGTGTTTTATCCTTTGGCAAGATTTCTGTTGTTCCCCGTTACTGTGTGCTCAGTGGTATACTAAAAAGTATGTAGTGCCATGTCAACACAGAATGAAATAAAACATACTACATGTAGCCAGTTACTGCTTCGGAGACCATAGACTGCTCCTCTGTCATGCTACCTGTCAGGTATCAAACCTGAATATTGTCATCAGCTGAAAACCTTCATTTACCTGCCATGTGATTTAAATTTATAAGCTCAGCAAGGAAGCATAGGGCATTAAGTGAATATAGCAACAAAATAGTAATCTTTCTTGCTAGCCCCTTGTAGTATATGTCCATGGTTGATGGATATAGGTTTTGTAATTACTTACTAACAATGTTATATCTGGACCTGCGGGATTAAACATCTACCATGGATTTGCACCTCCATTACTTGCATCTCCATTGCTGGGCTGGTATTATGCATGGAGCAATAGTCGTTCAGCAGATATTTGTTGACACAGTATGGCAGATAGTGTTCTAGTTGTTTATCCCGAGGTGCTTTGTGTATGGTTGAAAGCACATAGTTAGAGACTGAAAGAGTTCTAACTTTTGTTCTGCCATTTACTAGCTCCTTTTTTATTTTTATTTTTTAAAATTAATCTTTCTGTGGCTTAGTTTCTTCATCTGTAAACTATGAATAATAATAGTACCCAACTCAAAAGTTGTTTAGAGAGTTGAATGAGTTAAGAGGAGGTAAGCATAGAGCACATTACTGTAAGATTGCCTAGAACATAATCAGTGCACACTATGCTCAGCTGCCATCATCACAGACATTCTTTTCTTTTCTTTTTTTGAGACAGGGTCTCACTCTGTCACCCAGTGGCATCACTATAGCTCACTGCAACCCTGAACTCCTAGGCTCTAGTGATTCTCCTGCCTCAGTCTACCAAGTAGCTGGGGCTACATGCTCCCACCACAATGCCTGGCTGATTTTTTTATTTTTATTGTTTTAAAGACAGGGTCTTGCTCTGTTCCCCAGGCTGGTCATGAACTCTTGGCCTTAAGCAATCCCCTCACCTGTCTGGATTATAGGTTGAGTCACCGTGCCCAGCGTCATTGCACATGTTCTCATAAGAAGCTGAAGGCCTACCCCTGAGTGGCCCTGTGTGCTTGGAAAGGCATATAGTCCACATGTTTGTTCAGAAATCTCTCTTATTTTGGCCTACCTCAGTGTCTGAAGTTTCTATCTCAGTTGTTTTGTTTTGGTTTTTTGTTTGTTTGTTTTTGGTTTAAAAAAGCACATGTTGGCCAGGCATGGTGGCTCACCCCTGTAATCCTGGCACTCTGGGAGGCCAAGGCAGGTGGATTGCCTGAGCTGACAGGTTCAAGACCAGCCTGAGCCAGAGCAAGATCTTATCTCTAAAAATAGCTGGGCCTTGTGGTGGGCACCTGTAGTCCTAGCTACTTGGGAGCCTGAGGCAAGGGAATCATTTAAGCCCAAGAGTTTGAGGTTGCTGTGAGCTGTGACTCCATATCACTCTATCCAGGGTGACAAAGTGAGACTCTGTCTAAAAAAAGAAAAAGAAACATGTGTTATCCACCAAGACTAATATATTGACAGCTCTTACTACAAAAACCTTGATAATTATTAGGATTATCCCCCATGAAAAGCAGGTCCCTAAACGTGTAAGGCAGAGTACAACATTGATTTTATGAGAGACAGTAGAGTGGAGAAAAGGAAACATATCAGGGTTCATTGCCACAGAACAAAATATGGTCATCCTAAGAGTCACACAAGGTCCTGCATTTATGGCAAGGGTTGACTGAGAGTGAGTTGGAAGGACCCTGAAAAGAAGACTCTCAGGTTTTCCCAAGACTGGCTTTGACTTTATGTGTATCTGTCTTGTGTTATAATATGCACCAGGAGAACAGGATTTGCAATAGAAAACATATATAACAGTTATAAGCATATGTGGACTCCCTAGTTCCAACTTGAACCTACTGCTTATTAATAGGATAACCTTGGGCAAATGCTTTAACTTCCCTTTGACATCTGTAAAATGGGCATAATGATACAATCTTATGGGGTCCTGAGAGAATTATATTAGATAAAACCTAAAAGCAATGTCTGATATTTAGCAAAAACCTGTAAATTATATTAGCCTCTATCATTGTTACTATAGTTTGCTATTATTGCAGCTGCTTTGTTTTAACTATTTTTTAGAGAGCGTCCCAAATGCCTCCTGTAAAGTTATCATACATTCATTACAAAATACAATAGGTACAAAATATTCTGTGTGTTGGCTATCTCTTTGTAAAATTTTGTAATGGATATTTTGTAAATAAAAGTACATTCAGCTAAAATTTCCCATTTTCCCTGTGTATGCCAACTTTAGGGGTAACTTTTGGTACACCTGGTAATTTCTTCTTTTCCAGAGTCCTCACTTAATTTTGCTTGCCAGTGTGAGCCCTTAGCTACATTTGAAGCTCAAAATTTCCAAATTTTTTGATCCCCAATTTATTACAGTCTCAGTATTCTATCAGTGATCTTAATTGTATCAAGACATTCCCAGTATAAACTTAATTTGTTGGTGAAAAAAATTGAAAGCAAAGTTTTTATTGTCTTGGTTCTTTGTCTAGTTCAAATTCTAGCACTAGAATTTGGGCAAATCTGTTTTAGTCTTTCTGCAAAATTAAAAATGCTATTTAAACTTAGTTTCATTTGCAAATTACATGTGGCAAGTTGGCATACATAGGGAAAATGGGAAATTTTAGCTAAATGTACTTTTATTTACGAAATATCCATTACAAAATTTTACAAAGAGGTAGCCAACACACAGACTATTTTGTAACTATTATATTTTGTAATGAAGATTTCCCCTCATGTTCCTAAAATTCAGATTCTCTAAGAAGTTGAGGTAGTGATTAATCTAAGCAGGTTCCATTTAACCATAAGAGTTAATAATAGGGCAGCGCCTATGGCTCAAAGGAGTAGGGCGCCGGCCCCATATGCTGGAGGTGGTGGGTTCAAACCCAGCCCCAGCCAAAAAACTGCAAAAAAAAAAAGAGTTAATAATAAACATCTCCATTCAGTTTTTGATCTTCATAAATGCCACAGTTATAATCCATAAATTGGATTGAATTTATGGATTCAATCTGCCATATAATCAAATTCTGCCATATAATCCTAAATTGCTCCACTGAGCAAATTAACAATTACTCTTAGTTGTGTCATTTTAAATAAATTTAAAAATATTGGGGTACTAACAATAAAACTTTATTAACTAAGATGACCATCAGTAGAGAGTTAGGAAAATTTAATCTGAATTGAGTTCTCTCTTTACAATGATACAGAAAGTATTTTCTAAGCAAAATAATCATATTCTCACTTCGTCTTCACCTGTTCTTAGAAAAGGCTCTGAAACCTACTTACTCTATAATGAATTTATTAATTGCTTAAAATGTTATCCTTCTTTGGAGATTATTATAGTTTACCTTTATCACTAAGCTTTAAGCTCAAGGAATGAAGCTCAGATTGTGGAATTTTACCTACTATCTGGTAGGCAGGGAAGGTATTCTTTGGACAGAAAGATTTTTAAATAATCAGGTAAATGCATCTTCCCCAAAATCAAGCCCAATATATGTCAGTTCAAGCACACTATAACTATCTATTCAATATACTTAACCCTTTAAAAAAAAAAAAAAACCAGGCATCCATGCACAGAGATAAAGAATGAATTATACCATATTCTGAGAGCAAAAAGGCTGAAAGCTTATATCTGTAATCCATTACTTCTCAGCCTTTCAATCCTGGAGCCCATCTCTTTGGCCAAGGCTATAAAAGGGAACTTTTATATACTAACAACTTTTCTTTATTCTTTCTCAAGGTCTGTCGAGTTGCTTATGAAATCATGCAAACACTGCATCCTGATGCCTCTGCAAACTTCCATTCTTTAGATGATATCTACTATTTTGGAGGCCAAAATGCTCACAACCAGATTGCCATTTATCCTCATCAACCTCGAACTTCAGATGAAATCCCAATGGAACCTGGAGATATTATTGGTGTGGCTGGAAATCATTGGGATGGTTATTCTAAAGGTATCAACAGAAAACTGGGAAGGACGGGCCTATATCCCTCCTACAAAGTCCGAGAGAAGATAGAAACAGTCAAGTACCCCACATATCCTGAGGCTGAGAAATAAAGTTCGAATGGAAGACACGGACACCCAAACTGAGTTCAAACTATTTGAGCCAAACAGTAGATGAAGAGGGTCTTAATCTAACACCATATGGTTAGATGAGTAGACACCTTCAGCCCCAAGAGCAGTGGAGGCTTCAGTGGTGGAATTCCTCTTTAACAAGGGCTGCAGTGCCCTCGAACCCATGCACAGTACAATAATGTACTCACATAACATGCAAACAGGTTGTTTTCTACTTTGCCCCTTCTTTCAATATTACGTCCTCATGAAACAAACACTGCCACATTGTGTAAATTAAGTGACACAGACATTTTGTGTGAGACTTCAAAACATGGTGCCTATATCCGAGAGACCTTTGTGACCTATTGAGAAGTCCAGAACGGCTCCCTACTGTGGGGAATTTGATTCTTAGTCAGTGGTGGTATCATGACCGCTGAATTCACTCCAACCAACAAATGCAGAATGAGAACGGATGTTCTTCCCTTTATAAGGTTGTCTGGATTTTTTTTTTAAGTAATTGCATCAGTTCATCCACCTCATCATTAATAAGTGAAGGATACATCAGAAAATAAAATATTCACTCTCCATTAGAAACTTTTGTAAAACAATGCCATGAACAAATTCTTTAGTACGCTATGTTTCTGGAAATTCTCTTTGATAACAAAAAATAAATTTTAAAAAATAACTTTGTAAAGTTTCCATAATTTTGTATCATTGGGTAATATAGTAGTCAGCTATATAGTGGAAGAATTATGACAAAAAGAGGAGTTTTATAGTTTTTAGCTTTTTGTTTCCTGTTCTCATATAGCAACTATTCACTTAAGTCAAAGAAACATTGGTTCATTTTAACACTGAAAACTGATTTTAGATGGTGGGCAATACAGATTTGCTAAGAACCCTCTTTGGGAGTTTTTATTCTCTTATTTTGGACATTTTAAAATTGAATTAAATAGTCATAATCCTTGCTTTCAGAGGAACTGTTACCTCTATTTCTAAAACTATTTCAGGTTTGTTTGGTAATCTTTCTTATTGTGGTTATTATCACTTTTTGTGAGATGGGTCCTATTTTATCTGGGAAGCTAGTGCTGTTCCTAAAATACATGTTTCATAGTGTATAGAATTTGGTGACCGAAGAGGAGAGTGGCTAGTGTGAGACTAAGTGGCTAGTGTGAGACTAAATGGACTAAGTGTTGTCTCTTTGAAATACTTCCTTTTAGTTATTCCATGTTAGAATCACTTCAGAGGAAATGGATGCTGTTTCTCTGCACATCACTTCTCTCCTCATAAGAACACTCCCTGTACGTATGTAACCTGCCTTCTACAGATGCAGGAGTCTTACCTTCTAAAAGAAAAATTCGATCTATGTACTAACAGCATCAGGCCTGATGTTAAATATCAAGGGTCTCAGACAGAAAAACTCAATTAGATTTGGCCTTCACAACCTCATTAATGAAAATACTTGTATGTAAAATCTCCCCACCAAACTTCCCTAAATTCCAACTACCTTTCACATTTGACTTTACAAATAGCAAAAATTAACTACCAATAATATCAGTAAACAATTTTCCATTTAGTTTTCATACAAATAAAAGTCATTTGAAACAAAATCTTTCACTGAACACTTGTTATCAGAATATCAGTAACTGTGGATCTGATTTGTGCCCTTGTAGACGAATCAAGGTGAATCAGTCTTTGTCCATCCAGATTGACTCTGTTCCAAAGGTGAAAAGCCCAAAGAACAGAAATGTGAAGGAAATAAAGTAAGAGTATTTCTTAACTGGAGGCAAAAATTAATTTTGGACACTATCTTTCCTATTTTTAATTCACTAGAAGCATGTTTTACTTGATTTCATTGAACTCAGTTGTAATAACAGCTTTAAAATTCTTTTCTGATATATCTCAGAATTGGTCTTCATTGTTTATTTTACAAAAGGGTCAGTTTTTTTTTTTTTTTTGGTCCTTCATGTTAGATAATTTTAGATTGTGTTCTGAGCATTTAAATATGTTGTAGATTCTGTTAAATTCCTTTGAAAAGTGTTGATTTTTTGTTTGTTTTGCTTATGTTAGCGGGAGGCATTTAACTTTAGAGTTCAAACTGTAAACTGCATCTTGGCAGCAGCTAAAATCTCCTAAAATTTCAGGTCCTTTCTTTTATTGTTACCTGGATTCCGTCCCACATGTAGTGCACGTCAGCCAGAGATGTTGGTATAATTCATACCCAGAATTTGGGGCACTTTTTGGCTCCCTTTCTTCTGAGATTTTTCCCCCTTACTTTTCAGAAGCTGTGACTGCTCTGATTGTGTGGTTTCTTTTAATTCTTCAACCAGAAAGACAACCATTTTCTGTCAACCTAAAAGCCATAAAAATATGAAACTCACCTGTGCCATTCCTTTCTTTCAGCCTCTCTCCAGAATTTGTCTGCTTTTTTACTCAGTCTCCAGTACCTTCAGGTAGTTTTTTGTGTTTTGTTGAGAGTTTTATTATTGTTATCTGTTGGAAGATTGGTTCAGTAGGCACTTACTGTACCATACAGGAAGTGGAACTCTGAGGAAGAGACTTAAATTGAAAAAACATAGCAGGGGAGGGGAAGAGGAGGCTTAGTTTTGTGACAGCCCCTGTTTAGATTCTGACCTTAATAGCTAACGTAGGAAGGAAGAGAAAGAACTAAGCAAATTGTTAAACCTGCAGGTGTGAAGGACTAGAGAAAGCTGCTGATCACATTTTTCTGAAAAACTTTTTTGCGAATCATCATGTACCTGATATTTCCTTCTATATACAAGCTGCCCCATTGGGAAGGCTGACATTTTCTCCCCACTATTGTACTTTCTCCATGAGGACATTGAACTTAAAAATGCTGCATGGTTTTGAATTAAGTCACCAGTGCTAAATTGGGATTTGGGTCTTTTCCTTATTAGAAGACCCATCTCTGAAAAAGACTTAATCTGGAACCAAATTATTAGCCTGAGCTTACTGAATGTGTAACAGAATCCTGCCTATTGATGACAAAGTAATTACAAAGGATCTTACCAAGGCTCTCCTGGTTCTTTTCCTCAAGTCTGATTTAGTGCTCAGCTGGACCTTAATCAATTCATACCCGTTGTAAAAGGGGTTATATGTGTATGTGTGTCTCAAATGAATAAGAGACTAGTTTCTTCCTTCTCTGAATTTTAGGGATTTTTGTTATATATATCCAAGCCTATTTGCTGAATTCCCTCTTAATAAAGTCAAAAAGATGGGGCAGAGCCTATGGCTCACAGGAGTAGGGCACTGGCCCCATATACCGGAGGTGGTGGGTTTAAACCTGGACCTGGCCAAAAATTGCAAAAATAAAAAAAAAAAGTTAAAAAGATGAACAGCTCCAGCTTCTGAGAGAGTAGAGAGTTAAGAGAGAAAATAGCATATTTAAAAAGCTACCTCATAGAGTGATTGTTGTCATCATTATTTAGTTCAGAGAGTATAGAGTCTCTCTGAAGCATAGAGTCACAGAATATTCAGTAAGCAAAGTATTGGAGTCTAAATGGTCCATCTGGAATAGTCTCCACCTCATTGAGAGTAAATCTCTCTTACTGGAAAGTAAGTGGACAAGTCCCCTTTGGCCATAACCAACCGCTTGATGTTTCATTTGTGCTCCTGAGAGACTGTGAGATAGGTTCCATAACCTGTACAGAATAGATGCATGACTTGGAGATTAGTGGATTTGGGAACGTGGCTATACCATCCTAATTTGTGCCAGATGTAGACCCTAAGGAATTTTTAAAGTGCAGTGCTCAGAGGGAAACACAAAGGAGACCTTGCCTCTGTTTAACTGGCCTGAGGCAGACCTTGGAAAATTGTTTGTTCACTGGTCATGTTTGAGCACTTGCTCTTTGTGCATGCAGTGTTGATTCCTTATGCAAGCCAGAATCTCTGACTCTTGAATACCTGCTCAGCGATTCAGCTTTGCTGCCTCCAATCCAGTTCAGTTCCACCTGCTTTCTTCTCTCTACCCTTAAACAAGATGACCATGTAGGTTTTTTATTCCTACCACCTTCACAGAGAATGATCTCACTTAAATGGTCCCCTTGTCACTATTACATTCTTTACGCAGTTCCTATCCTAATTATTTACATAAACTATAGTTTTGTCACTGACATCCTTAAAATGCATGTATAAAGGAACCAAACATCCCCTTAGAGAGTTTTAGGGAAGGTATTTGTGGACCTGAGTTATAATGAACGTATGATTCCTTGTATTCATATCATTCAAGCCAGTGGTTCTCAACCTTCCTAATGCCACAACTCTTTAGTACAGTTCCTCACATTGTGGTGACCCCCCCCACCATAAAATTATTTTTGTTGCTACTTCAAAACTGTAATTTTGCTACTGTTATGAATTGTAATGTAAATATCTGATATGCAGGATGGCCTTAGGTGACCCCTGTCAAAGGGTCATTTGGCCCCCAAAGGGGTCACGATCCACAGGTTGAGAACTACTGATTTAAGCTGAAGATTTCAAAAAGTTTTACAAAGCAACATTACTACGCTTGAAGGGAGCATGGGGACATTCTTTGTGTAAAACCGTGTCAGTTTGGACAGAGCCGGCACATTTTTAAAGGCAATGTGTTGAAGGCCATGGTCATCTGATGTTCTGGGAAGAGCCAGGAAGAGAGTTCAGAGTATCTGCTTGACCCTCGTCATTGGTAACTGTTCTCTGTAACCTCTCTTCCCATGTCACTGTCCCATAGAGGCTATTGTTCCCAACTGCCAGTATGGGTAGAGAAAAGCCATTAACAAAAGAAAAAAAACAGCATATTTGTTCATAACTCAGCAGGATATGAAAGAATGTGTGGAGGCTGGGAATGTGCAGTACTTTATACAGAGAGCACAGAGACTTTAGTCCGTGGGCGTGGTTAGCAGCTTAGGAATGTTGGGGTTTGGAGTTCCTAGCTAATCTTACCTCCCTAGTGGATCGCACCCTCTAAGAATTTCTGGCCCTGCAAATGAAATGGAGGGTAGTGTGTGCAAAGGCAGTTCTTGGTCTTGTTTTTCCTCATCCTGGTGCCTACAAGCAGGTGATATCTGTATATTTCAGATTCTCAAGGGAAAAAAGCAACAATACTCATTGGATTTACTGAACTGGAATTCAGAATACCTGACTTCTGAATTTTTACTTTGCCCTTAAATGTGGACAGGCCAGTCTTGCAGAACTTCATTTTCTTCATGAGTGAAATAAACTGGTGTTGGATGTGTCCAGGGTTTGTAAATTTGATTCTCTGTTTAAGTCTACATGTCTTAAAGGAGGTACTTAGCCTCAGCTGATTATTGTCCTAAGGGCCTTATGTGGCTAGATCATTTTATTTTTTCAGACAAGCAAAATCAGTTTCCTTGTGCAAAGTCAGATTTTGAACATCATCAGCCAATTCAAAACTATGTAAAAATATTTAAAATAGTAAGGGAGCCAAATAAAATGTCTGTGGCTACTTTCACCCCATGGTCCATTAGCTTATAACCTCTAGACTAGATTGAAAAGTTTCTTTCCTAACGTAAAGATTATAGCTATAGAAAGGATTGATAAGATGAGTAACAGCTGCTTAATACTCTCAATGTCAATTGTGACACATGTCCCAATTCTTTATTTATTTGAGTCTTACTTTGTCACCCTTGGTAGAGTGCTGTGGCATCATAGTTCATGGCATCATTGGCCCAA